GTTGCTTATTACAACTTACCAAGAGGTAAATGATCAACTCTGATCAAATACATGTTGCGATGACGAAAACATGCGGGTTGGTGGCAACACTAGCCTGCCAGAGCAACATTTTCTAAGAAACTATGCTCGATAAAGAAAAAGTTCTGTGTGTTCTATGTATGATACATTGGTATAATGTAACAATGAGCATTAATGGAAAATGAGCTTTCTAGTCAACTTGAAAAAATTCGCAACAAGCCACTAGTCGAAGTTAAATGATTCCGTTCGTTCTGAATTATATAATGCTAAATATAAAACATGAATTACATACAGCATCAATCTGCTTCTTTCCATTATGGTCAGCTACACTCCTCAATTCAAAGTGCTGTGGATAATGAAAGTAGTGTTTTCGGATATTGATTTCGATAGCATATAAATTGATAGATGTTACATATTGATGTTCTTTATTTTATTTATAATGAAATAATGTTGCTCTGGCAAGCTAGTGTTACCACCAACCCGCATGGTTTCGTCATTGCAACATGTATTTGATCAGAATTGATCATTTACCTCTTAGTAAGTTGTAATAAGCAACTTTTCTCGTTAGTGTGTAAAGCACGACATCTGTCTTGTCTTGACACATTCGAGTTATCAATATGTATATATTTGTATGTTATGTGTAAAGACATAAAAGATGTGGTGCTTTATGCACTAACGAGAAAAGTTGCTTATTACAACTTACCAAGAGGTAAATGATCAACTCTGATCAAAATGCATGTTGCAATGACGAAATCGTGCGAGTTGGTTGTAATACACTAGCTTGCCAGAGCAACATTTCTTTTACTGTAAACCAAAAGAAGAATGAAAAATAACGTCTGCGACTTTGCGTATATACTGTTTTGTTGTCATCACAATGTTGTTGTTAGATTGGAGAAGAATCGTATTGCGTTAGAAAAAAGAGACTGGTGGTGATGAGTGAGATTGAATAAATAGCAAATGTTTGCAATGTTGGTGTATGTTACAACATATATATCATATACTCAACAGTTATATTATAGTACTTTCCAAATGAAGAATTATATTTAAGCAACCTGATTGTTGAAATATTTATTTCAGTTTTGAGTTTTTGATCATTTTTTAATCACATCATTCTATTGTAGAATATCTAGATCTTGAAAACATTGTCATATGGTCAAATTCTATAAGAATTATTTGAATATTGACGATGTGAATGACTTGATCGAGTATTACTGGAGAAAAGAACATTCGGCATCTAAATGATTTTTATCACTTATCAGCTTTTTAAACTAAGATGAAGTTTTAGTATCTGTTTTGATCGATTTCAGAGCTACCATTTGCTCTCTATGTAGATGAGAATTTTTCTAACGAATTTTTGAATATCACAAGGAACCATTTATGTATACTCCGATCTGTGTGACAAATCATCTCGACAATGTCAAATTGTCGGCATTGGTCGAGTCCTATTTGTTTTTTTTGTTTTTTGGTAAAAGGAATCGATTTATGAGATTAAACTAATATGAAATTTGCTTGATTTAAAATGTCAAGTAAAGTGTGCCTCATACTCAATGAGGGAAGCAGTATTGTATTTGTTGATGGCATACAAATCAAAATTATTAATGTGACAACATTGACAATGACGTCTAGTATTAGCATCGTGACAAGCGCAAGAGCGAGATAGAGAGAGTGAGAAAGAAAGAAGAACGCATATATCAAGTGGACTCTTTCTTTATCTATGTTGATGATTGAGCCGATTGAGACGAGCGTTTGACGACATCAATTGAACAGATTGTCATGATTTACGCATGTTACCATCGTATAACAGTAAGAAGAAATAAGAAAAAAGATAGAACATCGAAGATGGAAATGTAAACATAGAAGAGACAAGTGTAATTGGCCGTAAATAGTATCGTGTAAGCGAAAGAATATATTTACTTCAACATAAATAAAACAATTATAGAATTTTCCCTTGTTTTTTATACACACGCATTTTAAGTATAAAAATGGCAAGTTCCAAAAGTAGATCATCTGATGAAAATCAAGAATTGAATTCAATGAGAACATCTACTGCTTCAGCTAGACGATTATCATTTCAAGAAACGGTATGTTAAAGAATAGATCATAACATTTTATTAATGCAAAAAACAAATATTATGAAAATTTTTCTTATGCAAGGAATTAAAATGAAAAAAAAAATAAAAAAACAATTGCGTGTATGATTTTTTTTTTTATGCTAGACATATTTAGTCTCATCATATTTATATTCATATTCATTTTATATTGATATTTTCTAATATTTCATTTTAGGTTCGTCGAACACAACGATTGATGCGTGTTCTTAGAACAATGAATACTTTGAGTGAACATAGAAGACCCACTTATCTTGGATCTAATATTAATGAAAGTACATCATATCAAAGACGTGGTGCTATGACATTAGAAAAAGTAAATAACATCAAATTTTGTTTTTTTACCTTAATTCTAATTTATTCTATATTCGACGACATAGTTTTTTATATAAACTAATCAAAATGATCGAATTGAGTTCATTTTGTTTGCATGCGTTTTATGCAAAGCTGAAATAATAAAATGTGACCTCATTAAAAAAAAAAATATCTTTCTTTATACATGGATCGAAAGAAGAAAATAATGGATTGTATATATTATATAGATCTATAAGTATATTTGTATGTCGATTTCAAATACAAATATGCTTGACAAATGACATGCATATTGAATCATGTAATAAAAATAGTAACAAAGGTGATCAGTATTTTAATGGAGAATTTCTTTTTTTTTCTTCTTCTTCTTCAAATTGTTTTAAAAATATCTATGAATGGAGTGACATATTGAGAAATAGACAATTTCCGTTTCTATTGAAACTATCAATTTACCTATCGATCACGAAGTAATTTATAGACGCTCTGAGCTGTAAAACACGGTTATAGCCTCTCCGATTTTCTTTTATAAAAAAAAAAAAAAAAAAAGAAGAAAAAAAATCAGGCGAGAAAAGAATCAGCAAGGGAGAAGAAATTAAGAACCTTTAATAAATAGTGTGTTGAAAAGAAAAGTGTTGTTTATTAAATCTTTGGATATACATAGAAGAAGAAGAAGAAGAAGATAATGACAACGACAACAACAAAGAATAATGAACAAAGGTGTCAATGAGACGATTAACAAGACTTTCTTTATTTCCTTCAGCTGAAACTCGATCACATATACGAATTGATCGAGAAGTTTCTCTTGTAATTTATTATTATTATATATTGATTCTATTTAAAATAAATACATAGATTAATAATTATTCTCTTTTATCTAGACAAAATCATCAGAAAGTAGTGAAACATCTAGTATTACACCTGTATTAGATCAACAAGAAAATACAAATGAAGCAATAGCAAGTTCACGCCGACTTGGTCAACGATTTATTATTCTTCATTATTCACCATTTAAAGCTGTGTATGTTTATATCTATATTTATATCTATATATTTATTATTATTATTATTATTATTTGTATATAGATGGGATTGGGTAGTTATTCTACTTGTTTTATATACAGGTATTATAACACCTTATACAATATCATTTCTATCTGATGAAGATCAAAAACGTACAAATTTAAATACACATGCAGCAACACGACAATTTAATCGAGAACGAACAAGTATTCATGTTTTAGTTATTATTGATGTACTCGTTGATTTTATGTTTATATTTGATATATTAATTAGTTTTCGGTAATTTTCTTTTTTTTATTTTTGTTTTAAATAAATATTATTTAAATTAACATATAATATGTATTTATTTTAGAACAACATTTGTATTAAAAGAAACAAATGAAGTAATAACAAGTCCTATATTAATTGCTAAACATTTTGTTATTGATTCATGGAGACGTTTTGGAGCTGATATACTTGGTGCATTACCATGGGATATTCTATTTTTTGGTAATGGAAGTCATTCGGTAATTTGATCTTTTCTTTGAAAAGAAAAGAAAAGAAAAAAAAAACATAAACTCTAATTCATTATTCTTATATATATATATATTGTCTTTTTTTCTTCTATTTTAAAACAAACAAAAATAGACGATACGTCTAGCAAATTGTTTTAAATTAGCTCGACTTTTACGACTTGTTGCATTTGTTCGAAATTTTCAAAAAACTGAATATCGATCAGCAGTTTTATTTCTTCTTATGCTTCTATTTGCTATTGCTGCACATTGGTTTGCTTGTATATTTCATTTTATTGCAATACTTGAAGGACCTAATCTGCAAGTCAAATACTCATGGCTTGATCATCTAGCTGATAAATATAAAATGCCTTATCGTATGTTAATTATAATCAAGGTCATAGTCAAAATGTCTAGATTTTTTCATATGAATGAAAACAAGTTTTTTTTTTCTTCTTATGATGAATAATTGAC